ATAATAAAATGGGTGCAATACGCATGCGTGTCAACCATGAAGTTCCAAAGTTCATTTTTTAAACTTTTTATTAAACATTTAAGGTCCAGACACACCGGACGCGATTCGACAACGCGACGCGATTTTTCGATTTTCACTGACCGATAACTTTGACTCTGGTTTAAATTTTCCAAATATTCAGAAGCGATATAACACTTTGAGTTATTTGGTCTACATATCTTTCAAAATTTGCTCTCATTGGCTGTTTTATTAACTTTTAAAAACCTAAAAATCGCGTCGCGTTGTCGAATCGCGTCCGGTGTGTCTGGAACTTTACGGCGTTCCATTTATCCAGTTTTGGTTTCAAATTAAGTTCACTCCAATAACTGTGAATTATTCATTCTTATACACATTTATATGTATAGGTAATCATGCGATGGCGAGTACAATTAGGGATTAATAGTACTCGCCGCCGGGGCGAGTCCAATTTGGCAAATTTCCAAACATCACGAGTACGTACTATTAATCACTAATTGTACGAGCAATTACTTGTTTATTATTAGCATGACAAAATTGGATACTTCTCAATGTCAACATCATATTCTCTCGCAAAAGCCCACTTTTTGTTCGTATTTTCATCTAGTTCCTATAGCGCAACTTCATTTCACATTTGTGTTTAAAATACCATTCCGCCATTTTGTTTGTTTGGGAAAATCATTAATTGTACTGCAGTACAATTAATGATGGTAATAGAACGAATAGGAGTGCTATTAATGCCATAATCATACGAGTGATTACAAAATCAACCGACCGCGTAGCGGGAGGTTGATTTGTTAATCACGAGTATGATTATGGCATTAATAGTACGACTTTAATTCGTTCTATTACTTATTAATTATTTATCTTCTGTAATCAAACTGTTTAAGGGGGAAAAGCAGAAAAATACAATTTGTTGAAGTTCAATATAATCATAGGATATAATTATTAAATTTTTGTCACGACAATTCTTAGTGAAATAGTACAATTTTGAATTATTGTTTATCATATATAATCAAATTAACATATTATTAACTTCCGGGCATTATTTCCGGTATAATCACATGACAACATTTGTTTGAATTATTCAAAACACAATTGGGAAGCCATGTTTGTATGTTTATAACGTGTTCAAAATAGTGAAGTTCTTTAATTCAATTAATCATCTGAATTGGATGGAAATATAACTCCTGGTTGTGTTTAGTTCGGTGTCTTCTGCTGGATGAACAGGTAGGTCATTTTCGTCAGAAAATATATAATTTAACAACCCTCGAAAACGAGATCTGCATTCGGCAATGCCGACCTACAGTAAATGCCGACCTATCAACCTCCCATGTCGGCAATGTTTTGCCCACCTTAATTCAGCCAAAGTAATAATCTATTTTGGTGCTTATAGCTGTTAAAAAGTCAGCGATTATAGAATTCGATGTACTTTGGTGTAAGGTTTAAGAATTAACGGGTATATTTATGATATAATTTAGGTAAAACTCTAAAAGAAAAGGCTTCGTGACATTTATACTTTTCAATGATTCGTAAATACGTGATTACTAGAAAATACATGCATGCAGAAACCCCCGCTTTGCTGACAAAACCATTGTATTTTCCGAACATGAAGTATCTAAAGTAGTTGTCATGGTAACACGATAATTTTTTAAGAATATTCTTACAAATGAAAAATCGCCTAAAAATTTCATTTTTAATTACAAAATTATCCATTTCCCAACATATATATGTTAGGTATGTTATTATACGTAATATAAGCCTCAATTTAATGTAAAATTCAACCACAAACGCTTCGTAAAACGTTTTAAAGTGTTCTTTATAAAACTTTAAACTGCCTTTATAAATTAAATGGCTTTATCGATAAACTTTGAGTTTGCAATAAAATGATTTCAAATTCTCGCTTGCAAAGAACTTTGGTTTTTTTTTATTTAAAAAATTCAATATAACAAAAAAGGGAATCAATATTAAAGATACATTGAAATTATATGCGTCTTGTTTAGTTGTTTCATATACGCAAATTGAAGGCCGTCGGGTTTTAAATCCATTATAAAATCAATATTTAAAACCAAACTTACCTTCGTTAACGTTGGCTCCCTTCTTTTAGCCGATTCTTTCACCCTTTCTTTCTTGAAATTTACAAAATCTTGCAGAAATACGAGCAAAAATGAAGAATAATTGCAAGAAATTTATCAATCATCAACTCATCAAATCAAGAAATGTTTGCTATGTCGGCATTTCGCTGTCGTCATGCAGTCGTTATAATGCAAACTTTAAATTGGACCAATCAGTGTCCGTTATTCATGACAGTCCGCCATATTTTTGAGATCAGTGAGGATGACCACCCATCGTTGGTGACCGACGCCCGCGCTCATTGATGAACTTTAGACTTCGCTAATGCTTTCGTTTCCCCGGGTGTAAATAGCCGGGGGGAATTAGTACCCTCGCACGGCGCTTCGCGCCGCCGGCTCGGGGACTAGTGCAGGCTACTAGTGCTCCAAGACATGGAACAGATTTTAAAAAATGCCGAAATGTACCGAGCTAGGTCAGGTTTAGGTCGGCATTTTTTTCCGACCTCAATTTTGACGGTTTTCGAGGGCTGATTTAAAAATTGAAAGGTCAAAATTTGTGAATTCCTCCATTTTGAAATTTTTTACAGCAATAAACAAAATAAAATTCAAAGTTTGTATCCTGAATGCTGATTGGCTAGTTGTAAATACTAGACTGATTTTCATTGGCGATTAATGCTCAAATCGCACTCCTGTCAACCAATGAAATTGCAGTATTTGTCACTGATTACAGAAGATAAATAATTAATGAAATAATTGTACTCCTCTCAACCTATCAGCATCCAGTAATTTTGTCATGCTAATAATAAACTATACAGGGTGTCCCAAAAAAACGAAAATTATTGAAATCACTTATTGTTAAATTTGAATGCCCTACCAAACAGCTGGACGTGATGATGCGTAAAATATTGACAAGGTGCATGTACATGGTGTCCCCCAAAAAAGTGACACTATAGAAATTATCTCATTGTTCTTAAGGCGCTCTTAAACGCGCGTGATTACACGAATTACGGGGAATTACTGGGAATTTAATGAACTTGTATTTACATTTAAGCATTTTAAAACGTTTTCGCTTTGTCCAAATATTTTAACTCTTTCTCAGCGGGGTCCATTACGCGTAGGACGTGCACGGTCTACGGATGTTAATTCGTTCATATCTTTGGTTCAGTACACGCTATGTAAGATGAAAATACCACCATTCGATTCAGTATAAAAATATACACTAATTTATAACGATAGTTTTAGTCAGTGGCTAAATTGTAGCGATTTATGAGCTTTGAAAGTCAAGCGAGCTTGGTATTTGTCACTATTTGATCAAATTACACAATATTACTAACAAATTATAAACATAGACATACCTTTCGCCGAACATAACTTCGGCCTCTTGAGACGTGTGCTCATTCTGGTAGTCTTGATGAATGAAGCAGTTAAAAATAACATGTATACTGTTATTTTCAAGCTTCTATCTTTAAAATGTGAGTTTTCTTGCCGAATTTTGCATTTCTGCCCGGAATTTGCGTTAATCCCAACCGGAAATACGACGAAAAACCGTCAAAACAATGCGAAGTTTGTATCGCGTGACTCTGGAAATGCCAGAAATGGATTCTACAGGTCAAAGTGCACCCATACGCGTGAGTTTTACGTCATCCCGGCTAAAGGGAGCTCCTTATTGGCCAAGTATTACGTAATACAAGCGCGTGCTAGTAAAACCCGATACTTTAAAAATTCAAAATAAATATTTCTAGTCGGCGTATACATACGAAACTTTCTACACGAAAGCGTTTGAATACAAAGAGTATTTTACACATATATCCTTTCAGGAAATGACACCAAAGTTTAGAATATATTCAACTTTTTCTCATTTTCTCGTTTGAATGTTTGGCGAAGCGGTGAGTATAAATATATGATTGTTTCGGTTTGTGTAATGTTTTGACGGCACTTGACCCCCCGTTCGAAAGGTTATATTGTGAGGATTTCAATGGTGGCATTTATTTAAAAGGGGGGTAAATACTCGCCGAGATATTTATATTAAAAAAATTGAATCGAAATGTAATACGAAACCGGCCTGTCGAGAAAGAGTTTTAACGCCCGAGTCAAGCAAAACGATTACACTAATAAACGGTTTGCTTTTTTATTTTAAATTCCAGAAGCAGAAGTTTATGCACCTGCGGGATCAAGTTAATGCTAGGGCATTCAAATTATAGCAATAAGTGTCACTTTTTTTTGGGACACCCTGTATTAGAATTTAGTTAGGAATATCTCCTGGTAAAGTGCGCGATTTTCTGCTCCTGGGAATTAAAAACAGCTTCTTAAACAGTTTCTTTATGCATAAAATTTACTTATGTCAATAATTTATGCACTCGTGGGAACCAACAGAGCGCTAAGGCATTCAAATTCTAACAATTAAATTGTTATTGGTGATTTCAATAGTTTTCGTTTTTTTGGGACACCCTGTATGACAAAACACTTATTTACTGAGACCTCGGGCTCGGAAAAGCAGTGTGTTTTGTGGGCCGTTGTTGCCCGAGGCGAATCTCGGGCCCACAAAAAACACAGTTTCCCTCGGTCTCAGTAAGAAAGTGATAATTGTTATAGCTATTGTGAATACCCAACGTAATTGGCTGATTTGTGATCACGTGACTTCAGATAAATGCAATGTTAAATGCAATGATAAATACATGAATAAACAAAATGGGGGCACAACTCGGATATTTAGAACTACGTAAAAGAGAAGAAAAATACACAACTGGAAACAGGATATGCTGTCGAAACCGTTTAAGTAGGTTCTTTTAATTTTAAACTCGTTTATTTTATAAAGATTTTGTCAAGAAATACAATTGTTGTATGGATGTTGTTGATGTTGATTTTTCTTCGTCGCTATATAACAAAGCACTTAATAACCTACGCAATAAACCTATGTGGGTAACATTGCAATCATCCAGCCTGATAGATGTGATCATAACAACCAGTGAAAGTCTGATTGTGAAAAGTGGAGTGGTAGAAGTTAACATTAGTGATCATTTCTTGGTTAGTTGTGAACTTAATTTTAAAAAGCCAAAACTAAAACCAACATACATCAATGCAGGAAGTTTTAAAGATTACGATCGAAATCAATTTGTCATGGATTTAGCACAAATACGTTGGCATGAAAATTTTTCAATTGATGATGAGAATGAAAAACTCTCCTCATTTAGTGGTCACTTTTTGAGTATCTTGGAAAAACTTGCACCGGTTAAGAGCATGAAAATAAGATATCGATGGTGTCCATTTATGAGTAGAGAGATTAAAGAACTTATGAAAAATAGAGATAAATTACATAAGCTTGCACGACGAACCAAGATGACAACAGATTGGGAAAATTACCGTGTTTGTAGACAGGCTGTAAAAAAAGCGTTACGTGAATCTGAAAGGAAGTATGTACAGAATGAAATTCATAAAAACTCAAACAGAAGTTCTATGTGGAAAGTTATAAGGAACTGCCTACCCCGTAAAGAGTCAACGGAACTTAAGTATTCAAGAAATATCACGGAACTATAGTGGAGGAGTTTAATTCTTTTTTTCACGACAGTGGGTATTAAAGCATCAGAGTCTGCTACTGCACTTTTAACTAAATATAATCTACCAACCATAGACTTACCAGTACCTGCTCAAATTCCTGTGTCAGGTCAATTTCACTTCCATCCGGTTTCATGTAGTGATGTACAGCAGATCATCATGTCCTTTTCCTCAAATAAGGCACCGGGATTAGATAAAGTCCCAATGAGTATTATCAAAGATGCCTTACAATGTATCCTCCCTGCGTTAACAGATATTATTAATTGTTTATTGCTTACGTCCGAATATCCAACATTATGGAAGATGGCGGAAGTTGTTCCCCTCTTAAAAGATGGGGATCATGAGATCGCAGACAATAATCGTTCTGTGTCTTTGCTAATTGCAGTATCAAAGATTTGTGAACGAGTTGTATTGAATCAATTGACTGACTATATATACTGAACACCAAAGTGGCAATCGAAAATTACATTCTACAGAAACATTAAACGTTTTTACAACAGATCAAATCTTGCAGTCTATGGATCGTGAAGAAGTTGCGGCCTTAGTTTTAATAGACTTATCCAAAGCATTTGATGGCATAGATGATTCAATTCTACTAGGGAAACTTCAAACCATTGGTGTGTCTAAATCAGTGTTGGCATGGTTTAAAAGTTATCTATCGGGACGAAGCCAAATAGTTCGTATTGAGTCGACATTGTCGGAAACATGTATTATAACTCGAGGAGTACCTCAAGGATATATTCTTGGGCCGGCATTATTTAACAAATATATTAATGAGCTGTCCAATGTTCCAAAAGAGTCCTCCTTGGAATCTTATGTGGATGATTCGAAAATCTATCTGGCATTTCTAATTCAGGATATTGAAACTGCTGCGTTTAAACTTACTCAAGATACGGAAAGAATTACCGCATGGTGCTGTATAAATAGTCTGCTAGTGAATCCAAATAAAACGAAACTTCTATTACTGGGTACAAGTCAAATGCTGAAAAAACTCTTTGGCACAGATTTCCATATACCTGTTCTTGGTGAAAAAATAATCCCACTTCAGACGGTTAAAGATTTGGGAATGACTTTGGATTAAAGTTTGACTTACGACAAACATATTGTCAATACCGTCTCAAAATGTATCACAGAATTATGCCAAATCAATAGAGTATAAATTAAGCATATTTTCGACAAACACACTTTATCCCTTATTATAAATGCATTGGTCTTCAGTAAAATGTATTATTGCTCCTCCGTTTGGTCGAACACCTCGAAAAAGAAAATATAAAAACTCCAAAGCGTGCAAAACTTCGCGGCACGCGTTATTACTGGAATTAGAAAATATGACCATGCGACGCCTATCCTTCAGCAGTTGGCTTGGCTTCCAGTTGAGTGCACGTTAAAACTCAGGGATGCTGTTATGAAATTTAAGTGCATGGAAGGGTTAGCCCCGCCATATTTGTGTGACAAATTCGAAATGAGATCAAAGACTCACAGTGTTAACACCAGAAATAAGAATAAGTTAGACATTCCACTGTAAAATTCGGCTTCTGGACACCGAACGTTTCAGTACCGCGCAGAGTCTATTTGGAATGAGCACCAAAATCATATTGATTAAAGACATTGACACTTTGCACCAGTTTAAATTAGAATATAAATGTCATTTATTGCATGGATTTTTAGAAAGTAGTTAATAGTTTTAGACAATTTGGGCTTGTTTAAATTAGCATATAAACGTTTTTACTGTATGGATTTTATTAGGAAGTAGTTAACATTTTTAAAGTGACATTACTAATAGTTATAAAATTTTAATTTGTGTTTGTATGTGTGTATGTATGTATGAATGTGTGTATGTATGTGTGTATGTGTGTGTGTATGTGTGTGTATGTGTGTAAGGCCTACTCTGGGGCGGTAAATCGCCTTAAATCGCTGCGATATAATGCGATTTTGGGCGATTTTAGGCGATTTAAGGAAAAACTGGGACTTTCAAGCACTGCGATTTAGTGCGATATTAGGCGATTTAAGAAAAAATTCTAAATTTTAGGGATTGCAATTTAGGTGTTTTCAAAGGAATTGAATTCTATATTTTGCTCCGGTTTCCTCCCACAGGGCAAAATTGGCAGGGTGGGTTAGGATAAACACAGTTAGGAAAGTAATATCATATCCTCATTGTTGTAAAGATAAATAGTCTAGGCTAACAGAAGTAATCATAGTACTTGATGTAATCGATCACTGAAAAGCCCCAATGTGGGGAGTGAGAGGAATAATAATGTAATGTTTCCACACACATATGCATTGTATGAAGCAAAATACAATTATTAGAACATGCATGTACATTTTATATAAAGCTAAGTTAACTATTGTATTTAACCTGATTCACATATAAAGCTCAATATTCATGAACTTTTCACCCATTCTCTATTTAGAAGCCATTGGGGTTCATCTTGGAGGTCATAGCAGGGTGTTAGCTAGCCCATATGCTGTCCGTTTGACGGACTCTTCCCAATTGAGGGCTTTCCCAACTGGGTCTACTGGAAAATTAGCACGTGTCTCCCAAAATTTCAACGGTCGGGCAAAAATCAATGCGAAATTGGTCAAAACCTAAAAATTTCAATATTCTGTGAAAAATTTTTCGGATTTGGCAGAAATTACGGAATATTTCTTTGATATCTCCTGAAAATTTTTTTTGGTGACCCCCAACCCCCCCCGCTCGCCAAGAATTTTGGGAAAATATTCAGCTAAGTTCAGTTAAAACTTTCCCAATTTACGTTTAACGGACAAAATTTTTTTTCTGGCTAACACCCTGCATAGCTACATTTATATACACCACAAATATTGTAAACAGTTAATATACTCTACTTAAGGGGCATGCACTACACATATCGAGTTAAAATTGCAAAATATAATAAATATTTGATTTCCAAAAAAATCACAAGGGGTAGGGAGTAGAAACATACAATGTATTTATACAGTATAACTGAATAGGCTATAATCCCATAATTTACCTTGTCACCCTTGTAAGTGAAATTGTCTTGTTTTGTATCATGTCAAAACTTCTTTATTTAGCTTGCATTTTATTTAAACTGTTTCAATCTCGTGCTTTCTTCATGCTACAAACATATTTATAATTTTTTTGATATCTACATCATATGATATCCCAGTGCCATATCCAGAAACAGTGTCGTCACGCATTCGGAAACTGTCGGAGTAATGCCGTAATGTTTAAATTACATGAAGTATATCGTATATAAATGGTAGGAATTCTAAATTATTTTAAAATTAAAACCAAAATAGTGCAGTGTTAATTGTTAAACAAATGGCGCACTACATCGTGGTTTTAGGTTCTGCAAACAAACAACACCAAAAGATCTATTGTATGGTATGTAAGATGTAATCATTGTTTTACTGTTTATTGTATATACAGGTCTGGAAAATTTAATAGACGAGAGTTGCAAATCGCTCATAACCTCACGTATATTTTTCGTTTGATAGCCACTATAATTATAACTAGGAGCTAGAGTATAACCATGCACATGTCGAAGTACAACCATTGTATACAATGCAGTGCTCGATCTTACATGCAACAGTGCACAAATTACACGATGACTTTATTATATAAATCAACACTCGTACTCATTGACTTTCGTAGTTTCCTACTGTTGTTCTAATTAATGCCTGGTTCACACTGGTCGTAAGAATCGGGGATTTCCATTGTCTGTGATCATTGGTGTGTAAAATGCTTTCTCTGTCGGAAAAGAATACAATAGATCGTCGATGAATTACGATCAGTGTGAACCAGGATTAAAGCCTGGTTCACATGTGTCTGCGATGTGTCGGCGGGCTATTGTCTTAGCAGTTCAACCAAATAATTCACAAAAGAATGCATCAACAGCTGTAAACAATGATGTCGCAGGCATATCGCAGACATGTGGACCAGGCTTAACAGTAATGTAGCTAGATTATAGATTAATTTGTTGCCCAGCCTCCATAGTCCATATAAATTTTAGCCCAGCCTCCATTTACACCAATAATGAAATTAGCTCATTCTGGTAACTAGCTCAATTTTGTTGCTTGCAGTGTATCGGATCTATGGGTCTTTCAGATCCCAGAATTACCTAATTATTGTAAAGTCTGCATAAAGCAGAAAAGGCTCTGTTTTTGTCAATGACCGGTGCCTATTGAGTGACCAAATATTGTCAGCCTAATCCACTTATTTGATTGCTAATTCATGTTGCATTACTTTCATTGCAAAGCACCTGGATTACATGATTTACCCGTAAAATGGCAGCAATTGATAAACTTGAGTACATGGACTGAATGTATCAAGCAGAATGCATGTTGGCGATTTTAAGCGATCTTAGGCGATTTTAGGCGATTTAGGAGAAATTCGACAATTTTAACCCGCGATTTAGTGCGATTTTAGGCGATTTAGGGCGATTTAAGGCGATTTACCGCCCCAGAGTAGGCCTAAATATTGAGTTAAATGCTGTATGGAATTCACCAGGTGGAGACAAGAAAACATACAGTGACGGCCACACTTCAATATCGTGGCGGAAAAACAAGAAAGTCTTGCAAATAGAGGGTAAAGAGAAGGACCGGATTAAATCTAAGTTATGTTCAGTGTTATGCAATGTACATTCTCATATCCCGGCAAAGGAATCCGTTGCTACAGACGAGGGAAGCGGAAATTCCTCCCTGACATTATCTGGGCTGTCTGCTGATATAGAAGGCATAAAACTCGATACCGTGATTTGTGAAAGAGAGATTGAAACCAACAGACATACTATTGGAAATCTCGAAGACCGCCTTAATAAAGTAAGTGGCAACTTCGAAGAAGTTAGTAATAAACTTGATAATATGATTAAAGAACTATATTTTCCACATAACCAACA